GTGTTTGTTAGCCATCTGAATGTCGTCTTCGGTGAAGTGCCTGTTCATATCCTGTGCCCATTTTTCTATTGGATTATTTACCTTTATCTTGTTGTGGTGTCTTCTATTATCCTTAATCATTTTCCAGATCTCTGATGCATAGCAAGCAATTGGGAAGATCTTGGCCTGGATCAGGTGCACCTTAGTCTCTAGACTGACATCATTGCTCTGGAGAGGTACCTGTTGGTAGATTTTCCTAATGCCATTTGTCTTTTGATTTCCTAACTGCTCGTGCCAAGAGTGTTGATTGTAGAGCCTAGCAAGCTGAGATTGTTAGCAATGTCAATCTCTTCTCCATCTATCATAGTGCTTCCAATTGGCTCAGTGATAAGAATTTTTGTCTTTTTGATGTTGTCTCTCTGATGAGATTTTTGTCTTTTGGATCCATATTGAAGAATGCAATCCTTGGCTTTCTGCAGCAAATCCCTCAGGTCCTCCTCAGTTTCAACAAAGTTGTATCATCTGCATAATGCAGGTTGTGGATGAGTCTTCCTCCAATCCTGATGCCACACTCTTCCTCATATACTCCAGCCTCCCAAAATCTCTGTTCTCATACGGATGGAAAAGGTATGGAAACAAGATGCATCCCTGACACACTCCTTCCCAATTTTGAACCATGTAATGTTTCTATTCTGATGACTAATTCTGATCCAGATATAGGTTTTGCATACGCACAATCAGGTGTTCTAGAGTTCCCATTCTTCTCAAGGTTAGTCACTATTTGTATGATCCACACAGGCAAATGCTTTTGCATAGTTAATGAAACTCTCTTTTTCAGCCAAGATCCATCTGTGATCCATTGGCTGTGATGTCTCTAGTGCCATGGCCTCTTATAAACCCAGTGTGTATTTCTGGTAGTTCTCTGTCAATTTAGTGTTTCAGTTGTTTTTGGATAATCTTCAGCAGGATTTTGCTTCATGTGATATTAGTTATGTTGTTTGATAATTTCTGCAGGAGGCACCAAGACATTGAGGCAGTAAGAATGATAGGACTTGGTATTGATATGGAAGTAAGAATGGTTGGAGTCAAGCTTGACGTAAGGGTCAGACTTTAATGATGTGAACTGTTGGGTGGATGGAGGCTGACAGTAATCAGAGTGGTAGATACTAAAAAGGATCCCAGTCCTTTCAAGCATGGCTTTGCAGCTCCTTCCACTAGGAAGTGGGGATTCTCCCTTCCTTGCCTTTGGGCTGGCCCTGTGACATGTTTGGCCAAGACAGTGTAGCAGAAGTAATGGGCTCTTCTCCTAAATCAGGGCTCAAGAGTCCTTATTCATTTCCATCTCTGATTTCGAAGCCTGCTCCGTCACCATAACAGGCCATGGCAGAGCTCCTGGATGACAAGAGACACTTGACTTAGCTATTGCCCTCACTCAGCTGCCAGGCCGTGAGATGCCGTGGAGTGAGGGCATCCTCGACTGGCTGTTGCCTAGTGCACCTGCCTGATCTCAGCAAAGACATGGGCGAGCCCATGCAAGATCAGCTGAACCTGGCCTAGAAATGGGCCCTTGCCCTACTGGCCTACAGACTTGTGAGCAATAAGGAGTGATTATTGTTGAGCAGCGAAAGCTAGTAAGTTAGCTGCACTGACCAGACCACAAACAATACAGTTAAGATGGCTAAAGTTGACCCTAAGAAACCAAAGAACTAGATGTCTGCATATAGCTTCTTTGTGCAGATGTGTAGAGAAGAACATAAGAAGAAAAATCCAGAGGTTTCAGTTAATTTTGCTGAATTCTCCAAGAAGTGCTCAGAGAGGAAGAAAACTATGTCTGGGAAAGAAAAAGCCAAGTTTGATGAGACGGCCAAGGTAGACAAGAGATGGTCTGACCGAGAAATGAAGGACTACAGGCCAGTGAGAGGAGACAAGAAGAAGGACCTTAATGCCCCTAACCAGTCCCCATCTAGATTCTTCCTGTTTTGTTCCAAATTTCATACTAAGATCAAATTGACAAACCCTGGCATCTCTACTGGCGATGTGGCCAAGAAGCTGGATGAGAATTGGAATAACCTGTGTGATGGCAAGAAGCAGACATTATGCTAACAAGATGGCAAAGCAGAAAGAGAAATATGAGAAGAATGTTGTTGTTAAGTCCAACGGGAAGTTTGATGGCACAAAGGGCTCTACTACAGTAGGCTAGAAAGAAGTAAAAGAAGAAGAGGAAGAGGAGGAGGAAGAAGAACAGGAGCAGGGGGGTATGAATAAAAGAATTGTTTATCTTTTTGTGATACCTTTGTATAGGAGGGTGCCCTATGTGATTGCCACATCTCTTGGAGACCTGTCTGTTGCCCTCATTAAGTTTAATTACAAAAATTGGATCAGGACCATCTTGTAGACCCTTCAAAGTGCTCTAGAAATCAGTTGTCAGTGGTTCACATGAAGTGGCTGTGGGAGCACCCTGAAACGGTATTAAAGTAGCACATATGTCCAAGCATTTTTAAAATGAAAAGGCATTCACCATGCACTTTGCTGTTGGTGAGACAAAGTATTTAAAGATGTCACTGGTATTTCTATGCCGCCATCCCCCACCCTGTTGATTTAACTTGTAAGGTCATGTTGACTATGGTGATTGGCTAGAAATACCATGTTTTTAGCTGCACATACCTATAGTTTGTAAAAATGACAAAACCACCAGGACAAGGTCTTGGTGGTCCATGTTTGGCATTGAAGCTTGGTGTGGGGGAAGATGCCCTTCGGGGTGCCGGATCTCAAGGCATGCACTGTGAAGCTGTCCTGCTGCCACTGCAGTGGGCATCTATGTAGCTTCAGGTTGTCTTGTTTTTGTACATAGTGACATAGCTTCTGCTGCCATTCTTAGCTGTGAAAAAGGTTATGGGTGTCAGGTGGCATGAGAAATACTTGAATTTTGGAGGGGGTTTGCTTTCTTTTCTTAAGTGCAGTCTTTTTTTAAACTGTTTGCTTGTAAACAAATGGTAGAACCCTCCTAAAATGAAGAGCCACTGCATCCATGGAAGTTTCAGACCCTTCTGTACTTGATCATAGTTTGCAATTTTCTATTCCTTTTTTAAATACGCTTTAGAATGCTGAAATGTTTTTGAAGTTAAATAAACAATGTTTTTAAAAAGTTAAAAAGTTGAAAAAAAAAGTTGGAAAGAGATACAGAAAAGTTAGAGAAAGCGGAATGGGTAGACAAGGCAGCTGGACACATATGGGAGACCACGCAGGGCATGAAGACCCGGTAAGGATGGAATCCCAAAGCTGAAACCAAGGGCCACATGTTACCTTTTTACTGTATTCTCCTCCCACTGTTCCTCAACTCAACTTGTATTGCGCCTGAACGTTCATACTTCATACTTCATTATTAACAAAGCAAATCCATGTGTCTGTCAATCGCACGATGGAGAACCCACCCAGGGCCCAGCTCCCAGCAGAGGAAAAACGCATGGTGCTTTTTTAAATGAATCACTAAGGTGTCTGGAAGTTGAGCTGAAAACATCTGCACCTAGTGGGCTTAACAGCAAGATTATAAGAAATGCTTTAACCTAATGCCAAATCAAAGGTCTCTGTCCCCAGTATTCCGCAGCAGTTCTTGAAAAGAAAAATACCCCACAGGAACCTATCCTTCCCACTGTTGTAAACTCTAAAGGTCTGATTTCACTTTCCTGTCTTTCGCTCATCCTCAGATTTCAAGTCTGTTCCTGACTTCAACGATGGAGAATTCTGTGGAGAGATGGGCTGGGCAGGGTCGCTCGGCAGGGAGGGCCTTGACGAACGGCTTCCGGTGCGCACTCCAAGCATAGTTGCAGGGTCTAGGGGCGTCGGTGCTGCGCACGTCCCTGTTACGGCCCCCTCTCCAATTTTTAGGTCCTCGAATGCTCTCCACCTAACAGCTGCTGTGCGCCGCAGACAGACAGGCTAGCGCGTCAGGAGCCTAGGATTGCGCACGGCCACGGCGACAGTCTGCGGTCTCCCTCGTCTCCCCCTCTGCTCCGCTCCGGGAGTAGGCGGACCGGGGCGGAGCTCGGGGCGGTGTTGCTCGCCAAGCCTTTTAAAAGCCGTGGGTCTGGTTGGTTTCGGCCACCTTCCGCTACTTCTCGCACTTTCTTTCGCAGTGTACAGCTCCCTTAACCAGCCCTAGGGAGGGCGAGCCCGCCACCTGCTAGCTAGCTGCTTTCCAGCCCCGAGAGATCGCGTCCGTGTTGCAGGGAGCTCTGCTCGCCTTGCCCGGGCGTATTGCGCTGCCGCGCGCCCTGCACTGGGCTGACTTCGCTCTACTGGCCGCTCTCCATGCGGCTGCCCAGCATGTCAGGGAACTTTCTGCTCGCGCCCATTCCGGAGGCCTCCTCGGACTGCCTACTGCCCAAGGACATCAAACTGGCCGTGTTGGGCTCTGGCCGCGTGGGCAAGAGTGGTGAGTGCGTGTGGGACAGGGCCGGGAACCGGGACGAGAGGGCTTCTCATCCCAGTACCGACTCCTCACCCACGGCTGGAAGACCGACAGAATTGGGAGGGCAGAGGTTACAGGGAGGAACCTAGGAGTTTGCTCCATGGATCCACGTTGGTGCTACCCTCTGGCCCTGTGGCTGCCTCCCGAGACGTTCCCAGGGACCCCTCTGGTTGTGAACACCTGTTTGAGCGAAGGGATGGTGCCAGAGTAACTCCATTCAAACCCCATCACCGAAGCGGGAGCTGAGGCCGCGACCGGCGCGCCTGTGGCAGAGGCTTATAATGCGCTTCCCAGCCCGCTACTCTCCCTGAGATTTGCAGATCGCTCCAACTGAGAGTCTTGTTTCCTTTTCAGCAATGATCGTGCGCTTCCTGACCAAAAGATTCATTGGTGATTATGAACCCAATACAGGTTAGCATCATCCCGCTCTTATTACTTTTATGGCTTTGCGTGTTCTGTGGGGTCTTGATTTGATCCTACCTCTGCGTCTATTAGAGTAAGATTTTTTAAAAGCCACTCTCCTGCCTTCTCCAGGCAAACTGTATTCTCGGCTCGTCTTTGTGGAGGGAGACCAGCTGTCCCTGCAGATCCAAGACACGCCTGGGAGCTTACAGGTGAGGACACCCGGGTGCCAGCAAAAGCTGATTGCATCCGCACCAGCCAAAGCGGGCCGAGCATGGTCGTGGCCCGGTGCTGACCTGCGCGCATGTGCGAGATGTCTGAGCACGAAATGAATGCGCTTAACGCAGGCGTGGGGCCAGGAAATGGGGGTGTGAGAGACCCTCCAAGGAGGGTTAGAGACAGTTTTCTCCTCTTGGCCACCTTAAAGCTCAAACTCTCTGCCGTCGAACCGGTTCTGACGCATAGTGACCCTTCAGCAGGTTTCCCAGTCTGTAAGTCTGGAGGAGGCTGCCCAGCTTTCTCTCTCGCTGATGGATTCGAACCGCTAGAGAGGCACAGCCTTTGCCTGGATTAGCAGCAGAGATAAGCTAAACTTGTCTCTGCAAGCTACTGGAGGCATTGCTGTAAAGGCAGGGTCTCACCACTGGGAAACCCAGCCACTATCAGTGCATGGCCAGTGGGAGTATGGGTGGGATGGGGGCATAGGAGTTCTGGAGAAGGAGTATTCCCCAAACAAACAGTGCTTCAGTTCTTCTTGGCAGTCAAATACCGCTTCCCCCCCTCCTCGGCAAACATTCAAGAATGCAACTCTGATTAACAAGTTACTAATTGCTTGTCTCTTCTAGGGAAGAGAGATTTGGGGGAAGAACAGAAAGGAGGAATTTGTTCTCAAGCAGTGCATACTAAAAATATCTTAATGGGTTCGGGAATAGCTGTTTTTCTTGGCGGCTTTTCCACGTTTTGTTTATGATGAGTTGCTTCCCCCATCTCCTGCCCTAGTGCTTTGGAAGGTCTCCTGGGAGCCTTTCAACAGTTCGCCTTCTTCGCTGCAAACTGTTCTCCAAAGAGGGGATATTGAAAAGAATGCACTGGGAACAACCTATAAAAGCATCTGGCCCGACTGTGGGCCTGAGAGTTTGACGATTGCAAATTAAAAGCCTCCTGCTTTTAAAAACAGTGGGCAGCATCTGAAATCTCAATTGAAGTGGTTTCCTTTTCCAAAATTTCTGCCAGGGTTGCTTTGATGCTATTTGGAGCGAGCCCCTACTGTGACTTTCCTGGATCTAAACTCCTGATCTGTTTCAGGTGCAAGACAATCTCATCCAGGCGGTGGACTCTCTGTCCAGATGTGTGCAGTGGGCAGAGGGCTTCCTGCTGGTCTACTCCATCACTGACTACAACAGCTACCTGTCCATCCGGCCTTTGTACCAGCACATCCGGAAGGTCCACCCTGACGCCAAGGCCCCGGTCATCATCGTGGGCAACAAGGGGGACCTGCTGCACGCCCGGCAGGTGCAGACCCACGATGGCATTCAGCTGGCCAATGAGCTAGGCAGCCTGTTCCTGGAAATCTCCACCAGTGAGAACTATGAGGATGTCTGTGATGTGTTTCAGCATCTCTGCAAAGAAGTGAGCAAAATGCATAGCCTGGGCGCGGAGAGGAGGCGAGCCTCCATAATCCCACGGCCCCGCTCACCCAACATGCAGGACCTGAAGAGGCGCTTTAAGCAGGCGCTGTCGTCCAAGGTCAAGTCTCCCTCTGCCTAGGTGCTGGGGTGAGCCTGGCGCACACGAACCTCTCACCTTCTGATGCTGTGTCTATGCAGCAAAAAAGGACTGGGGCCTCCCCTTTTAATCACACATTCAGAGTTTATTTTTATAAAAGACATTATTGGTTTTCAAACATGTATGTGTCATTATTTCTAAACATTGTATAAATTTTTTTTTAAAAGCAACCTTTTTTTTTCCACTCTTAACTGCTAGCCACTTTTCCATTAAAGGCAAAATGGCACCATTACTCCTTGTTTTCTCTATGTCTTTTTATAGAACCCAAACTTGCACTGAAGCCCAGAACTGCTTGGTGCTTGTCCTGGGTCTGAACTCTGATGGGTGTCTTGTGAAAAGGAGGAGATGTTTCTAAAGCAAGAATCATCCTGGGAGGAGGGAATGTAGAGGAGAGGGCTTGGAATGGCCCCGGATGTCTCTAATTAGGGCACTGTTGGCTTGAAGTCAGCTTGTGTCATTTACAAAGGAAGATATGTTCTGTGAGCCAGTAGTAAAAAGAAGTTAAAATCATGAGTAACATTATTTATTGGTGCAAATGTATTTATCTTTTTTAATCTAAAACCCAACCCCACTGACTTCTTCCAATCATTTGGACTCACGGCAACCCTCCACTGGTTTTCTGAGGCTGTAAATTTTATGGGAGGGGACTGCCTTACATTCCTTCCTCTGAGGGCTGGTAGATTAGAATTGCCAACTTTTCCATTAGCAGTACAACATGCAATGTGCTATGCCACTTGGACTCATTTGTCTTCTCATATTGAAACAAAACAAAACCCTTTTCTATTAAGTGGACCCTATCATCCAACCATCCAGTTGCCTCAAAAGCCACAAATCCTCTTTCTGTGGTAGTGCAGGGGCTAAACCACTTGTTTGTTAACTAAAAGGTGGGCAGTTCATCCCCTCCAGCGCTCTGGGAGAAAGGCGAGGTAGTGTGCTCCCATAAAGCTGACGGCCTCAGGAATCCCACAAGGCAGTGTTCTCTATCCTATGAGTTGAATCTACTCCCCAGCAGTGGGCTTCCCTTTGATTTTGGTCTTCCTCATCCCACAACCGGCAGGCCACCAGACTTGTGGATCCTCTTTCCTCTTTCTCTAAGCACCCCTCTGCCTTTTAGAACTCCTACCTCCATGGACAGTCCCCTCACATTGGTCTCTTGGCCTGTGAAATATCGTCCCCCTAATTCATCCTGGAGAGGGTTAAACCAGCATGCTCCTTTGGAGACAAGGATTCTGAAGCTTCATCTGACATGCTTTGGACATGTTGCAAGGACGGACCTGTCCTTGGAGAGGGATATCATGCTTGGGAGGGTGGAGGGACGGTGCAGGAGAGGGAGACCCTCAATGAGATGGATTGATTTAGTGATTGGGGTAATAAGGGTAGGTGTGTCAGAGATAGAAAGATTGGCACAAGATAGAGCAGGGTTTAGGGCTGTTGTGCTATGAGTCGCAGGTGACTCAATGGCACATAACAACAGCAACAACAATTCTGTCTTCAGGTATCTCTGGTGGCCTAGTGGTAAGAAGCTGTGCTGCAGTCCCAAACACTCTCAGTTCAAATCCACCAGCTGCTCCATGGGAGAAGGATGAACAATCTCCTCCCCTGTGATTTACTGCCTCTGAAAACCTGCAGGAGGGTCAGCTATGGGTCTGTTCTGTCACACAATAACAGAAAGCATGGGAGACAGAACGGAGTGGCTTTCTTTTCTCAGACGCTTTCAGGCGTCCCTGTCTTGGCACTACCCTCTCTGCCTTGAGTATTTTAGAATGTTCTCTTCCTAGGAGGATTGCTAAGTCATCTTTCGAGACATAAGCCACATGCTGCGGTCTTCCTCTCTGCCTGCAAACCTTCGCATTATAACCCAGCCATGCACTCACTGTTGTTACTTGTCACTCCCTTGAAAGGCATCTCCCTTCTTGAGGGCAGTGGTTGCCTTTGTATTCCACCCTTCCTGCCTTGTGCTTGCAAATAGTGGTAGATTTTTCAGTCAACATGTGATGCATAAGTGAATGGATGTTGTTTTATTGTTGTTATTATTATTTTGTCCATGGCACAATATACGGGAATGACAGTGAAACCACTAGTCACTTCTGCAGAACAAGCATATAAGAAGATGTTCATTAGCTGACGGCTCTTTATTAGAAGACCAGAGAGGATCCGACTTACTGGTTCCTGGTGATTGCAGGTAGGAAGCCTGACAGTGCAGATGGTTTTCAGTTGGCTGTTAACCTAAAGGTTGGTGATTCAAACCCAAAGCGGCTTGGTGGGAGAAAGATGAGGCTGTCTGTCCATAAAAGAAGGAAATTTGGGAAATCCCATGGGGCAGTTCTACTCTGTCTTACAGGGTTGCTGTGAGTTGGAATTGACAACAGTTTGGTAATTTGGTTTTCATATGTGTCATGAAGCCCTGGTGGCTCAATAATTAAGCCCTTGGCTACTAACCTGAAGATTGGTGGTTCAAGTCCACTCAGTGGTTTCTCAGGGTAAAGACCTGGTGATATTTCTCCTGGGAGAGATCCCACAAAGATTACAGCTTGGGACATCCTATGGAGCAGTACCACTCAGTCCAAGAGTCAGGGGCACCAAGAGTTACCTGCAAAGGGGAGGTGAGTTCCAAGCCAACGTTCTTTCCTTTCTCTCATAAATTGGGAGAGCAGACCTCTCAGAGGGACAAACATTCAGGGACAGAACATGAAAAACCTGGGTGGGTATAGACAGGACACAGTCTGCCATTGTCATCCAGCCATTTCACTTCCTGTCTGAGGTGTCGGCCACGGAGTGAGAACCTACCTCCATCCTCATGAGGGTTATGGAACAATGGCTTCCCCTCATCCTTCTTTGCTAGCCTGTCTCCATCAGAGCTCTGTCCATGGAGCTCAGGAGTCTACGGCCACAAACTGCCTGCTGATCACGATGTAGTGACTGATTTCCCGCTCAGAGCTCTGCAGGATAATGTAATTAAGCCAGCCATCAGAAGAGTTCTGGAGAAATGGAGGTCATACAAACAGTTAGTACATCCTACAAACATTCTGTACTCCACAGGGGCTCGTGACTCATAAATGCAAAGAACAGAAATAAATCAATATATTAGAAGAAAATATGCTTGCTTTGCTTGTGTTAGGGAGCAGAGCATATGAATTCTGAAATTTTTATGGTCTGTCTGGAGAACTAGATCAAAATATGTGGCCATGGAAGGCAGTGTGAGTAATAGAGCAAATAGCACATTGTTTAGTTTTGGATCTGAATACTTTATTCCTCAAATGTGCTGGAATTTTAGCTTCTCACAATGGATAGTTACCAACTTTGCATAATGAGAAGTAATGCACAGGATTGGGCAATGCTTTGATTTGTTATTCAAAGGGTCACTATGAGCTGTAGTTGGCTTGATGACAACGAAAACAACTAACTCAAGTTTAAGATGCGAAGGTATTTTGTGTGATTTGCAAGTTATTCTTCCTATTACTCTTTGCCCACAAAGCCCACGTATTTTGAAAGATTCTGTTAAAATTAGTCCTAAACTACACATACTCTGGGCGTGTGGCCAGAAGAGACCAGTCCTTGGAGAAGGACCTTCATGCTCAGAAGGGTGGAGGGACAGCACAGGAAAGGAAGACCCCGAATGAGATGGATTGACACAGTAAACTGGGGCAATAGGGGTTGGTTTGTTGGAGTCAGTGAGACTGGCTCGGGACAGGGCAGGCTTCAGAGCTACTATACATAGGGTTGCTATGGATCGCAGGCAACTTGATGGCACACAACAACAACTTTGGTACCAGAGAAGAAAGATTGGTAAAGAAAAAACAAAAAGAAAATAAACGAGAGACTTCAAACTACTACTTTCCAAACATTGTTGCAGTTGCTAGAACTCTGGGAAAAGGAAGCAAGGTGCGTAGTGACTTGGTCACTTTGCTGTTCAATAAGGAAGCCTGGTTGTATTACACGGCCAACCTAAAACACATGAACCCAAAATCCAAATCAATCTTATCTAATCAATTCTGACTCATGGCTACCCTATTGGATAAAGGAAGACTACCCAGAGGGAGTTTCCAGAAGGATGGGCAGTCTCCTCCCATGCGATTAACCGCCTCTGAAAACCTTCTGGAGGCTCAGCTTTGGGTCAGTTCCAACTCGATGGTACAAAACAACAGTCTTTATAGAAGGAGTGCTGGTGGCCTAGTGGACAGGGAGTCGTCCCGTTATCCCAAATGCTAAACTTCTCTGGAGGTTTAAATCTACCCGCGGCTCCCAGGAAAACTAGAGGACAGTGTTCTCCCATGCAATTCACGACTTCAGAAACACAATGAGGGTCAGCTCTGAGCCAGTTCAGACTCAACTGCAATGAAAGAAACAGTGCACGAATCTCTGCAGAAGCAGATTGTCTCGCCATCCTCCCTCAGAGCAGTGGGTTTGAATGGCTGGGGGAGCAGCTGAGTTATTGAACCATTGTGCCACCAAGGTTTCTTGGAATTCTTTGTTACTGGGGCCATTGAGTGGACTATGACTCACAGTGACCCTACAAACAGCAGACTGAACCTTGCCCTATCTGGGACCGTCACCACCAGCTCTGTTTTCCTCGAGCTTATTGTTACAATTACTGTGTCAATCCATCTCGTTGAAGAGCATCCTCTCTTTCTCTGACCCCCGACCTTTCCCAACGTGATGTCTTTTTTTAAGGGCTGTCCTCTCTTAGTAACATGCTCAAAGCATATTAGACAAAGTTCCGCCATCTTTGTCTCTAAGAAGCACCTTAGTTTCACTTCCTCTGACACTGGCTGGTTTGCTGAAGGTTCCAAAAGTAAATTAGCCGAATCTTAGCCTTGTAGAGATACATGGAGGCTGGGCTCATGGAAAATGCTCTCAATTTAAAAACTAACTATAGGGATATTTCTATAAAAATAATAATAAATTTCTTCTGGAACATTGCAGAGACACTTCATAGAGAGTCTTTCTGTGGCCACTTCTGATCGTGTCACCCAGTGCAGGCC